GGATTGTGGCGTGACCATCCCCCCTGGGGGGTGATTTCTGGCTTTCTGTCTCTGTCTCTCTCTGTCTGGCAAGCACACGCGCCCTATAGCAAAAAACCTCTCCAAAAAAAAAAAATTATATTCTATGTGTGTGTGTGTGTGTGTTTTTTTTAAGCTATAGGGCGCGTGCACTCGCCAGACAGGCAGAGAGAGACAGAGAGACAGAAAGCGAGAAATCACCCCCCAGGGGGGATGGCCATGCCGCAATCCCTTCTCCTCCATTCTCCTCTCAGGATCTTGGGCACGCATGCACACGTGCCCAGCATGAGTTTTAGGCCACCGGGTCCGGGACGCGAACCATGGTCGACTACATGGGAGTCCAGCGACATAGCCATTACGCTAATTGCTGGTCCCTCTATGTGTTTTTTACATATTTTTAACTACTGCCTTTGGGGAAAGTTTTTGTCTGTTAACCTTGAAGATAGCAACTAATAGAATTTTCAGATATTCATTTATTAAATGTGGCACCTTTCAGTTAACCTTGACCTGGAGAAAATAAAAATTTATAAAGGCACTAAATGAGGGGTTTATTATTCTTGGCATGAAAGGAATTCCTTACATCAAAGATTAAAGCAAAAAAGCTTTAAGTAATGTATTCCTTAGGAGGAAGGGTCTTCAATTTATAGACTGCGATCTACCTATAACTATTTATTGTTTTTGCCAGAAGGTAGATGCACCAGAAAGAAAAAGTGTGTGTGTGTGGGGGGGGGGGGGGAACTCCCCAATGGGGGGGAGAGAACTCCCCAATGGGGTCTTATGATGTCACTATCGTACTTTCCTCCATTTTTCTGTCTCATCAGGATCCTGGGCAAATACACATGTCCTCAGTATGTTTTTCAAGTCACCAGGGCTACAATATGAATCCCAGTCAGCCATGTGTGATCTAGCTTCCTCTGCACAGTGTTTAATTATAAGTACCATATAGAGCCAAATCTATCTATAACTTTTTTTTAAGGTTTTGCCATACATAGGTGACATGCTCTCACAGAGAGACAGTGAGAAGGAAAGCGAGAAGCCACTCTTCAGAGGAATGGCCACATCATAATCCCTGCTCCACTATCCTCCTGGGATTCTGGGCAGATATGCCCATGTACCAGGCATGATTTTCAAGCCGCCATGTCTAGCATTCGAACTATGTTTGATCATGTGGGAGTCCAGCGCCTTAATTACCATATCACCTACTAGCCCCCTTAACTACCTGCTACTATTTCCCTTTATCTAAGGTTAGTAAGATTTCCATTTGAGAGAAAACTGTCATCCTAAGATTTCAACTCAAAGACATCACTATAAACTCCTGTCTCTCAAAGTTGAAGAAATAAAAAATACTGGGGTCAGGACCAGCAGATGGTATAATGGTTATGTGGCTAGACTCCTATGCAGTTGACTGAGGTTGGAGTTCCAGATGCCACAACTGCAAATTCATGCTGGGCATATATGCATGTGTGCCCAAAACCCCAAGAGGAAAATAGAGGAGAAGCAATTGTTGCATTGCCATCTCCCCTAAGGGGTGATTTCTGACTTTCTGTCTCTCTATATCTCCGGCAAGCACACACACCCTATAGCAAAAAATCTCTCTCTCTCTCAAAAAAAAAAAGACTGGGGCCAACAAGTAGAGTGGTTTAAGGAGTTTGGACTTGCACATAACCCACCATGGTTTGAGTCCCAGACCTGGGCGAGTGTACATGCTCAAAATTTCAAGAGGAAAACATAAGGGATTGCAGCATGGTCATCTCCCCAGGAGGTGATTTCTCACTTTCCCTTTTTCTGTCTTTCTCTGTTTCTCTCTCTCTTTCTTTCTTTCTCTCTCTCTCAGGCAAGTACACACGCTCTATGGCAAAAATAAATAAAGACTACACTGTAAAAAGCAAATATAACCACATCTTTTCACTATCACACGATTTGTGTAAAGAATATCTACATGATTGCCCTTGTCACGTAGGATAGGTTGAAGGAAACTTTGAAATTCAGTATCTGCAAGAGGCTTCTAAGCTACCAAGTGGATGAATAGTGAAATATAAAAGGCTGTACAACCATTGCTAAATGACAGACAAGTCTACACAGTAGAAAGGAGAAATTAATATTAGGTTGTCAGGAAAGTCATAAAGTAGTCCTATGTTTTTCTATGTAATAATGCATCATGACTTTCTCGACTACCTAATAGTGGGCAATGAGACCCAACTTACCAAAGAAGTCAATTCTTTTTTAAAAATAATTTTTAAAAGAGAGATTTTTACTATAGGGCATGTGTGCTCACCGAAACAGACACACAGAAAGCAAGAAACTACCCCCAGGCAATGGCCATGCCACAATCCCTTCTCCTCCAGTCTCCTCTTAGAATTCTGGGCACACATGCACACGTGCCCAGTGTGAGATTTAAGCCACAGGTTCTGGGACTCAAACTATGGTCAGTTACGTGGGAGTCCAGTAACATAACCATTATGCTATCTGCAGGTCTAGCAAAGAGGTCGAGTCTAAAAAACACAAACTAAAGATAAAATGGGAAAGTGGTCAACAAAGATATTTAGATTCAGAAAGAAGTCTCATAGTCAGTCATAAACGATAAAAAGTTTATCAAGGGGAGACCAGCAGATGGCATAATGGTTACATCACTGGACTCTCACATAGTCAAACATGATTCAAGTCCTGGACATGGTGCTTAAAACTCACACCAAGTGTGCATGCGTGACCAAAATCCCAAGAGGAGAATGGAGAAAGACTGAAGCATGGCCATCCCCCTGGGGGATGATTTCTTGCTTCCTGTCTCTCGGTTTCTCTCTCCCTCTGGCAAGTGTACATACCCTATAGCAAAAATCTCTCTCTAATTAAAAAAAAAGAAAAAAGCTTATCAAAGGAAGGTCAATTGGAAAATATCTATGGATAAATTATGGCCCCCATGAAGTCTAGATTGTTTAGAACAGTTCTGATTTCATAACTTACCTGGCATATCATTTTGTCCTGATTTTTGGTTCAGAAAATACAGTCAGTATTATACTTATTTGTATCCTTAATGCCTAGCAAATATATTTAACATAGCAAAATCTCAGCAATTATTTGTTGATGATAATTACATGGAAACTCAAATTAGAACACATTAAAAAACAAATAAAAAAAAAACCTAACCATTCTTAAAGAATTCAAACATATTAGTGGTCTTCACCTATTTACTAGCATGAATAAAAAATTACAATCTGGAAGTTCTGTTTATCACAAGAAATTGGTGCCACACTCACCTCTGATATCATCAGTACTGGGTGGGGATGAAGGTGTAATCTGTCAAAATCTGCACCATCCTTGGCAGGTTTGGGGGTTCTGTAGAAAAGTTCCCACTACCAGGTCTGACTGCCATAGCTCAGGAAAATGGTGTAATCGTTCCTTTTAACGTAGAATAAACTTGAGAAGATGGTAAGAGACCTATGTAATAGTAAGCCCCAGAAAGGGACAGTATTAGTAGTCTCAACATGAAATATAATGCTAACAGTTGTGGAATGGTACTATGTTCCAGGAACTGACACATTATCTCATTTAATCCTTTCAACAGTCCTATGATGTATAGGTATTAGTAGCCTTATTTTACAGGAAACCTAGGTTTAACAAGGTTAAGGAATTATTATAAGGTGGTAAGAGACAGGGCTGGGATTTCCAGCCATGCAGTCTAGTTCTTCAGAGTGGATTAATACACACAATCACAATCATACCGGGGCACTCTAATTGGTGTGCGGAAAATGAGCTTTCCTTTAAAAAACTAATTTTCTCAAAAGCAATCAGTGTTCACTTATCCATACCAGACGCTTACTCTTGAATTCACACCCTAAAAGCCAAACTGGAATTTATGTGCCAACTCTAGATTCAAAGTTTGAATCTAAGTTTTGAATCTTTTAAAATGTACAGTATTTTTGCAACTTATGAGAGTGAAGCATGTACAGTCTGTTAATTTCCAGAACCCAGTAAAATAAAATGACAGTGATTATACTCCATTCCCTTCTCAATACATAACAACATATTTACTGACTGGAATTACTTGGATCCAAATAATTACTTTTAATAACGTAACAAAATAGATCACCTTTAAAAACTCAAGTACCTTTAATATGCCTGCAAGTTTCAATAACTTATCTTTACTGTTAAAAGTTTTGACACGTTATTCAAACCAGTGTCATTAATATTTTCCCCTCTAACCTACGCATTTACATCGTAGTTAATAATCACGTTTACAGTTCTTAAAGTTTCGTCTAACATTCACCAGACCCTTTACCTCAAAACCTCCCTTTTTATAAGTAGGTGAAGTTTCACTGCAAGATCTGTAGCTACGCTATCAAAGGTTAATATCACGATTTTTGAGACATAAAACCATCCCACCACCAAGACTTCAGTGCTGCAAGAAAATTATCTCAAGGTTGGCCAAATGGGCTCCAACCCTCGAGGAAGAGGGCTTGCAGTCAGATCAAACAGGGCGGACAGGGAGATGAATGGGAAGGAGGGGAGGTCCGAAAAGGCAGTGCTTGATTCGATTCAATAAACATTCACTGCGCCACTTACCAAGCGCAAAAAAAAAAAAAAAAAACCCCAAGAACAAAAAAAAAAAAAAAAAAAAAAAGGAGAAGGAAAATAGGCTGGACGGCATGCGGAGCACAGGGTCCTGCAGGTTGGCCCAAGGGGCAAGAGCTTGTGGGCGGGGACA